TGGGCGGGGCCCTACCCCCCCCCCGGGGGGGGGCCGGAGCCATGCTGTGGAGCTCAGCAGGCGCAGAGGGAGACCAGAGTGCTTCTGCTAACGCCAGCCAGGGTCTGAGACGCCACCACCCCGGGGCTTGTAGCCTGAAGGGCCCGGTGGCTGTGCAGCCAGCCAGCCTTCCTGTCCCCGCACCTGCCAGGTGTCCCGTGGCACCGTAGGGGATGTCCGCACTGCCAGCCTACTTTGAACTAGGGTGGCTAACGTAGGCGTTCGAACTTTGCCCCGTGGCCCCTCCAGTCACTGCAGGAGGGTGGCGATTTCCTGAGCCGTCGTGTCCCCATGTGTCCCAAAGATCAGCGTCAGCAGGCAGAGCCCCACTGCTTCCAGCCCATCCCTGTCTCGTGTCTCCTGGCCCCCCGCCCCTCTGGCCGGCCGGCGGCTGCCCCCTCCCCAGTGGCTGTTTCCTTGCAGATGTTTGAGATCGCGGACAGCATGGGGGGGAACATCGGCCCCACCCACAACTTCGAGCCCCCGCACTACGACGGCATCGAGTGCCTGGCCATCCAGGGCAACGTGCTCTTCAGCGGCTCCCGGGACAACGGCATCAAGAAGTGGGCCCTGGAGCAGCAGGAGCTCCTGCAGGTAGGGAGGGGCAAGCCGGCGGCCTAGCCCCACGGCCCCCTTTGTGTGCTGGAGGGGGAGCCGGGGCCAGGCCGGAGAGCCTGCTGGCATCTGTCGAGGGCTCTTGCCAGCCGGCCGGGGGCAAGGGGCACGGTCCCCTCCCTACTTTGTATGTGAGCCCTGGGCCTTGCCGATGGCAGTGGCTGGCATGGTGGGCAGTGTTCCCTCTAATTGGCTCCATGTACGGAACACATTTTGTGATGTGCGCCGAGGCCTGCGCGGATGTGCACCACCAGTAGAAACTTGCTGCTGGCTGCTGCTGGCCGTGGGCGCTCTGCTGATCAGCTGGGCAGCGTTTGAACCTCTCCTGGGTGGCTGCCCAAGGGCACAGCTCACTGGGCAGCGTACGGCCGTGGGGCCAGGGGGCACAGGTTGGCCTCAGGGCAGAGCTCTGCATTTCCCAGTGCCTGGCCCTGGCCCTGGGGAGCGTGTCTCTGGTCTCGCGCCCCACATGGCGCTACGGCTCATGCGTCTTGGCGAGCACTTGAGGCCCTCCCTGATAATTGAGCGCCTCTGTTCTGGGGAACTTGCCCAGGGCTGGGCTGGTCGGAGGGGGCTGGCACTGGGGGTCAAGGGGAGTGTGGGGGCTCTGCACCCCTGAAAATGGGCTGTCCCCCAAAATGGAGCTGCCCAGAGCTAGTTGTGGCTTGTAGCCGTCGCCCCACCCCACAGTCTGCCCCCTATGACGTGGGGCCCAGGCTGCCTGTGCTTCCCCCTGGGGCAGTGAGGCCTGGGGGCAGACAAGTAATTAGAGATGGGGGAGGGGGCTACTGAAGGGAGCTTTCCGGCCCCAGGTGAGTTTGCAGACTCCCGCCCCCCGGAATTGGCCCTGCTTGTGGGTCTCGTGTCCAGGCTCCCTGGCTGCAGCGAATCGATCCCGCTGGGGAGCCTCTGGCCAGTGCCAAGGAGCGCTTGTCTGGGGGGCGCTGCTCTCTGACCGGGATCCAATCTGCCGCTGCGGCCGGGGGTGGACCGGAGCAGAGCTTAGAACCGGCAGCCCCTGCTGCCTGGCACCGACCAGCGCCAGCCGTTTGCATGGGCCCGTCGTCGCTACAGGCTCTGGCCCGGGGCGCCGTGGCCGGGCTCACCAGCTCTGCCCTGTCTCTGTGCCTGCCAGCAAATCCCCAACGCGCACAAGGACTGGGTCTGCGCCCTGGCCTTCGTGCCCGGCCGCCCCATGCTGCTGAGCGCCTGCCGCGGGGGCACGGTGAAGGTCTGGAACGTGGAGAACTTCACGCCCGTGGGGGAGATCAAAGGCCACGACAGCCCCATCAATGCCATCTGCACCAACGCCAAGCACATATTCACAGCCTCCAGGTGAGGGCTGGGGCGGGGCTCCGCCATGGAAGGGGGGGCGGGCCCTGCGGGGGGGCGGGTCTGGCCCCCAACTCACCCGGGGCAGTGTTGCACAGGGTAGGGGGCAGTGAGCAGCGCCAGAGCTGGGCTGCAGCAGGGGGGGGGGCCTGGAGCCACCC